GAATTTTAATTTAAAAAAAAAAAAAAAAAAAAACAGAACAGAAGCAAAGCAAACCAAAGAGAGGGAGAAGAGGATCTGCAAACCCAACCAGAGAGGAGGAGAAAAGGATCTGCAAACCAAACCAAAAAAAATAGTTAATTGTTCAGGCCCTTCTCTTTGCCTCTCGCCGCTTCAGTCGCCTCACCGCCACCTCAGTCGCCTTACCTCCGTAGCCTCTCTGTTCGTCGCCTCCGCTGCCCTCGCCTCGCCTTGCTTCTACCTCCGTTGCCTCCATTTGTCGACTCTCTCTCTCTCTCTCGTCGCCTCTTCTGTCTTAGAGGCTATGGTTCAAAATAAGAAAATGGGAAAGCAAATAAGAAAAAAAAAAAAAAAAAACTCCAAAACGACGTTGTTTTGGGGGGGGGAGCCCAAATCGAGCCTGAAAAATCGAGCTACGAGGCATTTCCGATTTAGCAAAGTGGAAAGAGAGAGAATGACACAAAAAAGGGAGAGAGAGACGGCTCTCTGCTGCGACAGCTACAGCAAGGGCAAAGAGGGGGGAAGAGAGAGAGGTGAAAAGAAAAGTGGGTCTTACATGATTTTTTTATTTAAGATAAATTACAAATATATTTTTTTGAGATTTACTTAGTAGTATTTGGTAACGTTTATATTTTTTATTTATTTTTATAAAAATTTTATAAATTAGTTTTTGTTTATTTTTAGAAAAATATAAACAACAAACACATTTGGTTTGAACAAAATGTTTGAAAAATTTTAAAAATATAAACTAAAAAATATGTTTGTTCACGCTTAAAATATTCATATTTATTTTTTATTATTTATGGCAATGAGATCATACACATTATAATTGAAAAAAAAATTATTTGGAAAAAAAAATTGTTAAGTCAAATTTTTTAATTTTTGTATAAAAATCAATGTAAACTCATTTTTTGAGTTTACGTTTTTTCTCAAATTTACAAACTGAAACAACAATTTATAAACCAAAAAAATTATCAAATAAGTTTTTATGACAGTTTTTAAAATTTTTATAAATATAAATTGAAAATTGAAAATGAAATGGTTACCAAGTAGGATTCATATGGTAAAAATGTCATAAAATTAATAAATAATTAAATAAGTTACTAACGTAAAAAATGACTTATCAAAAGATTCTTAGGTTATATTTCAAAAAATGAGTTTACGTTGGTTTTTAAACAGAAATTTAAAAATTTGACTTACAAAATGTTTTTTCAATTAATTTTTTTTCAATGAATTTTTTTTCCCAACTAATACTAATCGATGGAGCAATTGGTAATGCTACTTTAAACCTTAGGGAGGGGATTGTAATTTCTAAAATGTGAGAGGTGTTAATGCAATTTACCTAGTATGGGCAAAATTGGTATTTAAAAAAATTAAATTGCTGAGGGAGAAATCTGTAATGAAACTTTAAACCTTAGGGAGGGAGATGCAATTTCCAAAAAGTGAGGGAAAACTGTAATAAACATAAACCTCAGGGAGTGTTAGTGTAATTTACCCATAAATAAATAAATCGATTTGATAATCATTTAATTTATCACTTTTATCATCAAAAAAATGAATAATCTATTTTTAAAAATACACTTGTTTATTTTTTTAAGTGTAAATGCGATAAAATTAAATAAGATATGATTGTCGGATTAACTTAATTTTTTTTTTTACAAATAATGCACATGATTGGTTCTACAAAAAAAAAAATGATTCAGATTATCAAAATAAAACCTGTGATGGATTGGACACATTTTGACAATACTTTTCAATATCATAGACTAGAAGAAAACCTCCACCTTTAATATTTTCCAAAAGAATTTCAAACCACAATGTATTTCAATATTTTTATTTTCTTTTGGTAGTACAAACATACAACATTAATTGAAATGATATTAGGGGAATTAACAGGTCAGTTAACACTTGTAAAATAAATTATAAATTAATGATCAATTTTATAAAATTTAATAATTAAAATCATATACTTTTCTTAATAATTATTTTGGGGGAAAAACCCGACCTGTGAATGGGCCATGATATTATATTATATTTTGTCACTTATTAGTCATCTCAGGTTCCAACTTTTCTTCATAGATAAATTGTATGTGGCTATCAAGGATTCGGGCCCATTTACCTCAAACAATAATTCAGAACATATGGTCCCTGTTGTATGTGGCTCTATTAAGATTCGGGCCCATTTACATCAGACAATAATTCAGAGCATTATCACATACCAAAATTTTTATTTTTTAATTTTTTTTAGAAAAAAAATTTCATCAATTTGGTACAATGATATTATGAAATTTAAAAAATAGATAAACAACCTTCATAAAAACAAGGATCAAAACTTTCATAGAAAAGAAGAAAAAGCCCCATAAGAAAGCGAAACAAACCTCCACACATGAAGAATTATCACAATGGAACCCACTTTAATCACAGTCTTAACTTTCAGGAGTAATGTTTGTCTTCCATCTTTTTGTTTAGAGAGTGTTTGGTTTGCCTTATTTTGATTTGCTTTCTCTAATGTGTTATCTTTTTTTCCTTTCTTTTTTGGTTTTTAGACTGTGAGAAGATCTGAAGTCAAATCTTGAAATTTTGGGTTCGAATGTAGAGAAAGTAAGACAGTAATGGTCGGAGTGGTAAGGCAAGCATCATATCAACCATATCTAGAGGGAGAGGAGAGGGAGATCAGAGAAGTAAGTGAACTAAAGAGAAAAACAAGAGGATTTTAGAGTTTAGGAAGATGAGGTATTTCACTTTTATTAGTTGATTGAGAGATAAATGATGATCTATTTGATATAGAATAAATTCACATGGTATCACAACTTGATATTTGTTCATTAAAGTTGTAGACGAGAACTTTCTGTTAAAATTTGAAGAGATAATAAATATTAAATTATAAATGATATAGAACATCACTCTAAGGTTTTGTTGGATAAGTAAGATTATTGTATACAATTGGGATTATTAGTTCATGGACTGCTATTCTTGTGTTTGATTGCAAATTTTGTTGACTGAATTACATATATGGCAAACATTCAATCCGATGAAATTGACAAATTTTTAATTTTAAGAGAGGCATGGGATCATAATCTCAGGTGTGAAAAAAAAAACACAAAATATATTTAATAAATGGTTATCTCATTAATTTAGTTAGATAATTAATTAATCTTATACTAATTCATAATATTATTAATTCTTTCGCCATCAATTTTACTAATCAAATAGTGCCTAAGATTGTGAGTTTTGACACGGTAAAAAGATTGTTGAATCTAAATTTTTTTAATTTTGAATTTGAACTTGAAAAAATTAAAGGGGTTCTGAAACTTGTTACAAATCCTATTTGAATAATCTAAATCGTTAATTGAATATGACTTTTTGTATATATTATTTATAAATAAATAAAAAATTAAATCATTTTAATAATCGTAACATTTTCATTTTATCGTGTTTATTTTCAAAAGAGTAGATAGTATATTATTTTCAGAAGTATGGGCTGTTAGGAATGGTTTGCAATTGGCATGCAACCTTAACATTTTGACTCTTGATGTTGAATCTTTTGCCATGTTGGTGTGCCAGATTTTGGACACAAATGTTGATGAGTTCCGCCCTCTTAGGAATTTATGATCGTAGGTATCTCATGGAGAAGTTCGCAATGACATGTTGAATAGACAATATTTTTATTTTTGGACAATATTTTTATTTTTAAATAATGAATAAATACAAATAAATGCAAAATAAGGTGCATAAGTAAATTAAAGTGTGATTTATAGAAAGAAGAAAAAAAAATATAAATGACATATAACCATAAGAAAAATAATATATAAGTCCACTTTTTAGACTCATTTTTTAAATCCAGTGATGCGCTAAGAAGATCATTAGTTAATAATTAAAGAATATTTAATTATCACTAGGTCTAGAAAATGAGTCTAAAAATGCCCTTTGATGTTGGTTCAGGTGAGTAAACTAGGTCACTGTGGTTGTGGTGGGTAATTATTTAGTAATCGCGGAGTATAAACGCATGGTATTTCATAGAATTGTGATTGGTGAAGAAATTGAGTAAGTGAGGTATTATGTTGGGCGATTAAAGAATATGAAGGGGCAGAATAAATTATGATTGGTTAAGAGTACTGACATGTAGTACTCCGAGAATAGTCTATAATTTTCCGTGTTTGTGGCGTTCTATATATTACAAATATCTCTCCGTAAGAAAGGAAAATACTGGTTTGGGATATAGCCAAT